TGGCTGCGGCTTTGCTCCTGGTGTCCCTGGTCTGCTGGGGACGGTCCCCAGCAGACCAGGGGCACCGGGAGCAGCTTTTCTCGCCCCTGAGGTCGAGGTGGCGGGACCGCTGCCTGCGAGCTCCGGGGCGAGAGAGCCCCGTTCGTAAGTGCGGATCCGACATAAGTCGGATCCACGTAAGTCGGGGACTGCCTGTATGTATATACAAAAAAAATTTTTAAAACATTTTTTCTAAAAACGCACCAAAAGACTTAAAATAATTTAAAAAAAAGTCCAACAAAGTCAAAAATAAAGTTTTAAGCTAGCAATTCAGGAGGAAGATTGGATGGCTAACAGTTAGCAACTAATTTGACTTGTACTTAGCCCTCCAATCTTCCTCCTAAATTGCTAGCTTAAACCTTTATTTTTGACTTTTTGGTGCACTTTTAAAATTATTTTTAATCTTTTGATGCGCTTTTAGAAATATTGTCTTTCAAAAAAGTTTTTTGATATTTTTTTTTTAATTTTAGCTTTCAACTTCCATTCATTCCTATACAAGATTGCATGTTTGCTCCTACTTTACGTGTGCAAACTTTCATAGGATTTTCTGGATACAATTTATAACACTTAGGTGAGGATGGGAGTGGGAGGAGGCTGAGAAGGAAAAGAGGTGGGCAGAGCCATGAGCCGTGAGGCACCATGGCCCACAAAAAATTAATCTTGCACTGCGATTGCTGAGTTCCCCTTCTCCCCCCTTTTTGGGTGGGTGCTTGAGCTCTGGAGCACCCTTGGAATCAGCATGTATGGGGTCACATAATTTTCTTCCAGGCTCGCATTTGAGGTGGATGGTCCAGATAGTGGCCCAGGGCAACCTGCCAAAGAAGACACCATGTGTAGGTTTTGCCTGAATCTTACCTGATTGGCTGAGAGCCAGCGGGGCTGCAGGAGAGAGGCAACAGTATCTGGAGTAGATAGAGGGAAGCACATTGTAGGGGGGGCAGTTGGACAACCAGTAGGTGACCACTCCGGATATGGTTGCCAGGCCTCCAGTTTTTGATCAGAAAGCCCAGTAGACCAGGGTGGGGCCATTAAAAGTCCTGTTGATGGTGCTGGGGGCTAAGGCATGCTCCCTCTCCTGCTCTGGCTCCATGTGGCGCTCAGAAGTGGCTGGCATATCCATCCCGCTTCTAGGCTGAGGCATGTGAGGCATGGCAATGGGAGGGAGGGGAGGCTCTTAAGCTCACCCAAGTGCTGACTCGGCAGCTCCCATTGGCTAGGAATCACAGCCAATGGGAGCTGCAGGGACTGCACCAGCAGACAGGGGCAACACACAGAGCTGAATGGTCACACCTAAGCCTAGGCGCCAGAGGGAAATGCCAGCTACTTCTGGGAGCTGCCCAAGGCAAGCACTGCCGAGAGCCTGCCCCCCCATCCCTCCTGCACTCCAATCCCCCACCCCAACTCTGAGACTTCTCCCAGAGCCTGCACCCCTCCCATACTCCAAACTCCTTAGTCCTAGTGTGGAGCCAGCACTGCTTGCCCTCAGCCCTACCTCAGATCCTGCACCCCTACTCTGAGTCCTCACTGCCCCCTTGTGCTCCAACCCCCTGGCCCAGCCCGGAGTCCTGTTATATTCCTTCCCCCCCCCCCACACACACACTCTGAGATTCTCATTCATTTCTGGTTCCAGCCCAGAGCCTTCAGCCCCTTCCACACCTCAGCCCTCTGCCCAGCACAGTGAAAATGAGTGGGGGCGGGGGAGTGTATGTGTGACAGGAGAGGGGATGGAGGATTGGAGAAGGGATTGGAAGGGGACTGGAGAAGGGATGTGGCTTTAGGAAGAGGGTGATGGAGGCATGGCAAGGATGTTTGTTTTTCTGCATTCAGAAAGTTGGCAACCCTACCTCTGGCGCAGGAGCGCCCCTCCTCCTCCCTGCTCCACTGCTGTGGATCCTGTTTCCACTCCCAGCCCTGTTCCTTCCCTCCCCTCATTCCTTGCTACCTCCCTTCAAAAATGGCCAGCCAATCCTTTCTGTCCATCCTGACTATGACTATGCCAGTTTGCTGGCTGAGGCTATCAGAGAAGACAGAGGATTTAAGTAGAAGACCATTAGTGCAACTCCCACCTGTAAACACTGACAACAGGACATAAGAGAGCACCTTGGTCTTGCAGGTAGACTGGTCCTGTAGTTAAGGCTTTAAATCTTCATGATAAAACTTCAGATGTGCTTCCCAATTAAGTGATTAAAAATGAATGCTATAATGATGCTGATACTTCAACTTTTAGTGGTGTGTGCAGGAGTGGAAGTGTGGGAAGCGTTGAAATATAGACTAGTAACCCCATAGTCAAAAGTTTTAAAAGGTCCTATCTTCATTTATGACTATTTCAGACTCTCCTGTGTGATCACTGGCCCACCATGGAGAGCTGCCTAACCATACAGTGTCCATGATCCTTGTTTCTAGCTGTATTCAAAGACAGCTAAAATACTTTTCTTAAACTGCCTTTCTGTGTACTGTTAACTGTTGGTGTAGTTGCCAAAGGGTTGTTAGATAATCATGAAGAAGAGGGAAGGTGGCATGTGTATTCATGTGTTGGAGAAATATTGACCAATAAGACAATGTCTCTTATAGTGGTGTTTTCACCGTAAGTAATAGGAATTTAAAAATCCTCGGTTGAGACTACAGGTGTGGTGTGTGTGTTTGGTTTTTTTTTTGGAAAGTGGTTAAGTAACTAACCACTAGATGGAGCCAGATATTTACACCAAGAGAAATTAGTAGCAAAAAGGCTTCTTTGAAGAACCAAGAGATATTGTTGGCTGCTTTGAATTTATATGAGAAATATTTAAAATAATAGTTTTTTTAAATTTGTTAGCTGGTGGGCAGGTATGTTTGTACCAGTTGGAAACTCATTCTCTAAGAAACAGCTGCCTTTAGATTCTTTAAGTTTCAGTCCTTTTAAAAATGTAGATATTCTTAAAATAAAATAATTCCAGTTTTGTAAAAACTCTTGTTGCCTTTTAAGGCCTTTAATGTTGCTCTGTTGGTTTGTAAAGTGACTCCCCCACTTCGTAGGCAACTGGAAGAGAGAACATAGAACAGAAAGCTAGAATGTGCTGCTGTTCTCCAATTCATATAGAACAGTCTAAGCCAGCAGTTCTCAAACTTTGCCATACCGTGACCCCCCTCTAAGTTGCTGCAACCCCCCTCTAAGTTGCTCATGACCCCCAGAGGGGTCAGGACCCACAGTTTGAGAAACAATGGTCTAAGCAATGACAAAGTAATTTAATGTAGATAGCAAAAGAACCGTTTTCAGCAGAAGTAGCGACAAGGTAAATTGTGGGGGGTGGAAAAAACATTGATTGATCACGATGTCAATAGTGGTATGTGTTCTTTCAGTGGCTTTAATTTGTGGGATGAATTAAAAGTAAGCATGTAGCTTTTTATTAATTTTAATTGTCTGCTTTAATGATCCTATATAATTTGGAAGCAGTCAGCTTGCATCTCCCTAGCCTTTCAAATCTAGGCAAGAAAACAAAGCTAACATTGAACTTGACTCCATTCATATTCAAATCCTAGACTATAGAAGAGCCAAGTAATAAGGATACAGGAAACATTATAGCTAGATTGGGAAGGAAATTAAAATTACTTCCCAAAGCTGAAAGGATGGATCTTGGCTGCACAGAAAATTGTGCAGATTCTTCCCTTGTGTTACAAATCTGAGAACAAATGTATATGAACACAAGATGAAGTTTTATTTTAGCATCTGAACACCTGTGGATAACTCTTAATTAAAATGCTTGATGTTGCTGGAAATTTCTATATGTTGTCTGTCTTATATAATTTTTTAAACTTATGTAATCCATACATGCACTGGTTCTGGCTTTTCTTCTCTCAATAAAAGGTATTATTGGTACTGCATTGTTCTCTTGGTTTGTTTTACAAACCATAAAAAATTTTAACCTTAAAAAAAAAATCCTAGACAATAGCAGTGCTATAGGAGGCTTTCTGCTTGACTTTTGTTTCACAATGGCTTTTCAGGGTTATGAAGCTGTGAGGATGCACAATGAATTATTTTTTCTTTTAAATGTACTTCATTACATTGATGTTGTTAGGAAGGAAGAAATATGTGGGAAAAGTACATTACTATGTGAAAAATGGTTACTTGGTGCTAGCCCTAGCACCTTCAGTTTCTAGAATGCCTTACAGGAGCTATGTCCCAAATTCATGTTTGAATTCCATTAGTCTAGAAATAAAAACATCTTTATAGGACTGTAAATTTGAGGTGCAGATATAGTCTGTTTCCTGGGCACTGGATTAAGGGGGCATTTTGGGGGGTTCCTTTTTCATTTTAATTTAAATCACTTCTTATGGACGGTGTTTTCTTCATAGGTATGTTCCGTGGAATTATCATGAATTTGAACCAGGTGTATATAACTTCTCTGATGACAGAGATATAGAATATTTCCTGAAGTTGGCTAATGAGACTGGCTTGTTGGTAATACTAAGAGCCGGACCATATATCTGCGCAGAATGGGACATGGTAAATTGAATTTAAACTTCCTCATTTAGAATACTAAAAATTGTGGGTTCAAGTCCTACTTAAGTGATTTCCAATATCATTTAAGGACAAGGGGGGTTGTCCTTAAATAGTGATAATTTAATATGGTGTTGGATAATACAGTTCGCCAATTACTAGTACTTAATTGGTAAAATATGTACAGTTATGTGATAGCTGATTAAATTTATCTTTGTAATTCCTAAAAAAAGTCATTGAAATGGTTCCTTTCCCCTTCATAGGGGGGTCTTCCTGCATGGCTATTAAAGAAAGAATCTGTTATTCTCCGATCTTCTGATTCAGGTAAGGAGATCAAAAGAATTTGTAAAAATGTTTCAATGGCAAGCAGATTGATGACCAATCTGTAGGTTCAGACTGTATTTTCAAGTGTGGCATTGTCTTACTGTTTCCACTGAAAGTTTAGGAATAACAAATGTGAGTGCTCTCTGAATAAGATTTTCGTTCTTGCTGACTATTTCTGCATGGAAAGAGTAAGATAGGAATGGGGTGGAAAATCGCAAGATTACGTGTTTAAGGATTTGCAGAGCTGGACCCTTAAATTGTAAAGGATAATGTTCTTGAAAGTAATTAAATACTTTTCTGTAGTGTGGTTCCGTTACCTCTTGTTTTTAGTTTGTACTGTATTAGAATGATTTAGGTATAGGTTTTGAAGTCACTTGAGTTCCCTACATACTAATGAAGTTATGAGAAAGTATAGAAGAATGTCATTGATTCATTATTTGTTGCTCTTGTACACTTTGTGTTTAGATTATTGATTATAAAAACATCTCATTTATAGTTTTTGTTTTTTTAAAAGTGGACTGCCAACAATTTCCACATTGTATATTGCAGATTACCTAGCAGCTGTAGACAGGTGGATGGGTGTCTTGTTACCCAAAATGAAGCCTCTTCTCTATCAAAATGGAGGGCCAATTATTATGGTGCAGGTAATATGTTTTAAAAATCAAATGGAACACTAACTCTGAGAAATGCAGCAAGTCTTTTGGTCCCATGCTTGAATTAATAATAGTTCTTTCAGAGGTATGTTTCCATTAATGTACATGGATGCTCTTTAAAATGGGGAATCCATTCAGAATCTTTTAGATAGGTGGCAATTTTATAGGTAGGAATATCTCTAGAATTTTTAATGCACCCATGGACTGTACCAAGGCTGTCTCTGTTGCAATGTTTCCTGCAGGTGCAGCTGACTGATGAAACTTATTGATTCCTTTAGGCTTTGGTCTTTAAATAATATTTGCTCTCCATGATAACTGGAATTAAAATCAGTTTAAACTATATTACAAACAAAAGGGTATAGAAGACTAGAACTAGAAGGGACCTAGAGAATGGTGTGGTGGTGGTGTGAGGTACCCAGAGGTTCCATTCAGTTTAATGTTATCCTTGTATCTCCATTATTTTAAGAAGCACAGTTTGGTTTTTGGTCCTTAGTGCAGATGTCTCTTGACCCCTTCGAAAGAGACTTGTCTGTGAAAATGAGTTGAGCATGGCCACTTATTAGCCGCCTATTTGCCTGCATTGTTGATACATAGGTCATGTTGAAGCAATTCAGTTGAACTCAGCACTTCCTGAGAGTCAGGGATCTGTGATACAAACCTTAAATCAAACTCACTTCATCTCTTCTGCTTCTACCTTTTCTTGCTCCTTTGTTCCTTATTACATACAGAATCCTCTGCCATGGTTCTCTGCAATTCCCCACCAAGAGCAGGAAATGCTGGCTCCACTGAAGTCAATGGGTTTTTTTGGAGTCAAGACTCACCCTCGGTCTTTCCCCCCCGAAGCCTCTTGGGGATTTCTTGCAAATACTGTGCACTCACAATCCCTTTGTCTTAAGTCACTTCACAAAGCTGGGTTGGTTAGCATTATTATTATTCTGCAGGTTGCATAGATGAGGCCTGGAGAAGGTAAGTAACTTGTTCAAGAGCAAGTAGCAGAGTAAGAATAGAACCCACATCTCCCAGCATTGGGAGCTCCCACTACTGATGCATTGACTTATCCTCATCTAGTATCTAAGTGCTTCACAGAGGAAACTAAACCACAGCTGCCCTGCCATCCCCTTTCCTCTTGCTTTGCCTCCTGCCACCACTGCCCCCTCACTTATCGTAAGGTCAGTGCTGCAGAGTTTAGCAAGTCTAGTGAGGACTTGATAAATCGACCACTGATCACGCCCCCCATCAACTCGGTACTCCACCAACTTGCAAGGCATAAGGAACATCCTCAGTGGGAGGTGCCACAGTAAGTTGAGCTGTGAGGTATGTCAACTCCAGTTATGCTATTTATGTAGCTGGAGTTGCGTAGTTTAATTCAGCTTTCATCTGTAGTGTGCACGTAGCCTAATTCTTTTGCTTCCTACCATCTCTGCATGAGTTGGGCATTGTTTGCAAGAATTAGCTGTCCCTGTCTAGCACTGGAGTCAGATGTACATCAAGTCTGTCTGAAAGTGTTTTGGGAAAGCTGTGTGGAAAGCTGACATGCATAGGATAATCCCCACAGTGCTGGGCTCTAACCAGTGCCATCTGCTTCAGTAGCCCAAGCACCAAAAGTTACTCAAAAGAAGAAGCTGAAAGTTATGCCGTGACACAGTTCAGTGCTTTTTATTGCCATTTAGTGGAACATTCTCTTTCCTTAGCCTGATAAAGCACTAAAATATCTAGCCTGACAAGATCTGCTATCTCTTGGAATGAATAAATAAATATTTGGCCCTAGTGCTTCCATTGATTATTGCACTGAACAAATTAAGCATTAAGTTCTGATTTTGAAAGAAGGCTTCTAATTTCCCAGACTGATACTCAGGGTGGATTACTTAAATCAGCAATTTTTAAATGATGGTTTAACTTACCAAGGCAATGTCTATGCCCCAATGAACTTTGAAGCTGATGTAGTCAATATACCAGGATTCTACTTAGTTGGTCTAGTGAAGACACGCTAATTCAAACTGAGAGGGAGCTCCCATCGATGCTGGTAGTCCTGCTTCTATGAGGAATAAGGGAAGTAGAAGGGAGAGTGTGCTCCCGTTGAGCTGCTATATGGACAGCGTCAAAATTCGATTTAAGAGACTTCGTCTCCATCTACGCAATTAACGTAGTTGGAGTTGTGCATCTTTATTCAACCTTATCCCATAATTTAGACCTACAACAACAAGTGGAAAGCCTTGATTTGTCATCCATTTTAATCAATTTTTCAATTTGTATGTACTTTAGAAAATAACTGAAGGTGCATACTCATTGATATAATAATTTAAACATTTATTTACAGTTAGAGAGAGTCTTTACGATAGATTTGGTCCATCTTTTTTGCTGCCTAGATGGGCAAACTATATATTTATGCAGTTACATAGCTTTAACATTTTTAAGTTTTTATTGAACTGTACATATTTAGTATGTTAGAACATGGTGAATAATACATCAACTATTTACTAGATAAGCTTTTTTCTCATGTTTCATGTTAAGCCATATTACAATGATACCTGAAATGTAATTAAACATGCTAAACAATATATGAAATTTATTGTTATTACCCAAAATCACCTGAAGTGGTTTGAATACATAAACTTTACTCATCAAAAGAGGTTTCACATTTACAACTAAAATATGGTTTATTTCTTTACATATTGTGCATCATATCTAGACTTCATTTTTAATTTTATTTTTAAAAGAAAAATGGTTAATATAAAAAAATCATATTTTTTTAAATCCACCCTGCTCACGTTTATGCCTGCAGTTAGTCACGTATGCGCATGATAGGACTTTAGCTACAAAACAAGTAGTTAGACAGGTGTGTACCATTTCTTATTTGCAACATTAGATGCAGTCCATTTAAGTATCCCCCACTATTCATGTGTCTACTAGTTAGGAGGATGATTGTTTGTCAGAACAGGATATTGCAAGTAGAGAGATTTGGGCTTTTACCCAACTTTGCTGCTGACTCACTGAGACACCTGGGGCAAGTCACTTAATCCCTTTGTGACTCAGTATCTTCCCTTGTCAAACAGGGATAACAGTGCGTATCCATGTTTTGAAAGTACTTTGATATTGCTAGATGGATGCTAGGATAAAAATATAAGTGGTGTTCTTAATTGTGAGAGGAGTTCCATGCATGGCATAACTTAGCTGGGTCTTCGTATTAAATCTTTTTCAGCATTATGAGCACCTTTGTTTTCATAACTACATTAGCACTTTAACAACAAAAGTCTAATTCATAACGAAAGCTTTTGCAACTTACTATGTATTTAATTTTTAAGAAGTTGGGTGAGGAAACTTGCAAGAGCCCCAAACTCACTATTAATTCCTACACTTAGGGAGCATAGAGTCAAACTAAGACAATATATTAAAGGCAAAAGTTTGTAGTTTAATTCTTGTCTCCACATACAGGACTCAGAAACAGCATGAGAGAGTCTGTTGATTAGTTAAAAATCACTCTAGTTCTGTGATGCTGTACCAAGGCCTATCGATAAATGAGTCAGTAGTGAGAGAAACCTTTTACCTTCTGACAGCTATTCAGGGGTCTATGACAAATGAGTTCCTCATCTCACTCCAGACCCTAGCAGCCAGGTGCCTTCATCACAAATGGCATTTTTATTCAGGCCCCATATCCATTCTTGTCGTAGCCTATTGAGAATAGACTACCCTCCTGAGTTCAGGTGGACTCTCCCGAAATGGCTGAGGCCAATGGTTGGCTTAGCTTGGAGAAGCTTGCACTGGCTCTGCAATTGATAACACCACCAGCTCTGGCTAAATTCCTAACGCCACCTGGCCTTTGGGACTTGGGTTTCTGTTGTTACTGCACATCCTTTTCCTTCCTTGTTTCTTCTCTCCCCCCGCCCCTCCTTCTCTCTCCCTTTTGCCTTCTGTTTACTAAGAATTTGGATTAGCCAGACAAGACAGCATCTCTTGCAGCAATGCTGTGAGCTTGTGCCCAGGAAGGCAACCAGAAGCAATGCCTTAAACGACCTGGTGCTGGTACCTGTGCAATTGGGAGGTTGATGCTTTGGAATACAACTCCTCTGCAGATAGCCATGGAACTCCTGCAAGCTTCTGAGAGGTGAGAATGATGCTACCAGCATGGCATCTTCTCTCCTCATCCCATGCATCTTCTCTGGAGTTGGTCTGTTGGGCTTTGATGCTCTCCCTGCAGAGAGGAGGCAAATCCGGGTTAGGTTTTCATGGTGCCACAGTGAATGTCTTTTCCATTTTCAGTATGACAGGCCTTTTCCACATGGAGAGACAGGTGCAGGCCTTGTTATCTCATGTCAGCTTTGCCACAGGTCTATTATTTCTGTTGCATAGATTGAAAATGAATATGGAAGCTACTTTGCCTGTGATTACGATTACCTTCGTTACCTTCAGAGACTCTTTCATCACCACCTTGGGAATGAGGTGGTGCTGTTTACAACAGATGGGGCAAGCAAATCTTACTTGAGATGTGGAGCTCTGCAGGGTCTTTATGCAACAGTGGACTTCCCACCAGGTTAGTGGCAGCTGTTCACAGCAAAATAACTAGGCCAAAGTTTGTTTGTTCACTTGTAGCAAAGCTTGATGGTCTCGCTGGCTGTGGAGTTGAAGTGATGATCTACATATTGCCGTTTGATGTCTTCTTAAATATAGAACAGTAGTTCTCACACTGTGGGTTGGGACATGATCCAGTTTTAATGGCATCACCAGGGCTGGCATTAGACTTGCTAGGGCCAAAGCCTGAGCCCCACTGCTTGGTGCCAAAATTGAATCCTGAGCACTACCATCCAGGGTTGATCTGAAGGCCAAAGACCTTAGCTCTGGGTGGCAGGGCTCAGGTTACAGGCCGCCCACCCTTTGGCTTTAGCTCTTGCCTGGGGTGACAGAATTTGGATGGGCTCAAGCTACAGTTCCCCCTTCTGGGCTCATGTAATAAGTTTTATTGTCAGAAGTGGGTCATGGAATAATAAAGTTTGAGAACCACTGATATAAAGGGAACCAGCTGACATGATTTATGAGGCAGTCATCTCTGGCCTGTTTATAATGCAAACCTACTGAACAAATATAGCAATGCTCAGTAGCTTTTTCCAAGGGCTCTTAGCCCAGCCCCAAATCCAATTCCATCAGATTATCACCTTGCTTTCCACTGAAGAAAATCTAGCACTTCAAGATGCAGTTAAAAGGGTGCATTGCCCCATACTTAAGCATGCAGAATTAAGTGAGAATAGTGCTTGTGAAAAGTGCCCAGTCTGAACAGGGGACTTGATAATAATTTATCCATAGAAACTGCACAGCCTTGGCAGTTGGGAATTTTCCTGGGCTTCAGTCCAACCTGCATGTAGTTTCCAAGTGCCTTCAACCTGGGGCCTCCCTTGTGAATTGTTCTTTGTGGTAAAATATGTTTGTAGTCTCAGTTCATTTATTCATTCAGCACATGGAGGTCATCTGTTAAATGGTAGTGACTTCCAGACTAGTGACTTAGATGTGAAATACAAATCTGATTTGCCAGTTCCCTGACTTTCACACTTCCCACAGATATATCTATTTTAAACTAAGGCCTATGTTTTGAAAAATGACTGGTGACTTTAGTTCTTGGTGTTCAAGTTGGGGCTCCTGAAAGAGGCCTGAATTCCTGAAAGCACTGAGCACTCCTACTCAGATTATGGATATAAAGGGGTAACTAGTTAACTGGTTACCCAGCAAGCATTGCCTCACCGTGCTTACCAAGGTAACTTGTTAACTGGTGCCCAGCAGGAGCAGCCCCCTGCTCGCGGCACAGTGCAGTGGATTCTGTCCTGTCCAACCGGGCCTACTGCATCACGGGCACGAGGCTGCTCCGGCTGCCCTCTGCCCATGGTGTGACGTGGTGGGCTGGTTAAACATATAGTTTAACCAGTTAACATTTTAAATGGGATTTTACATCCCTAACTCAGATCATTAGGCCCTTTTTTGGTGTCTCAAATTGGGCAGCCAAAATCACTAGCCTCTTCTGAAAATGTAGGCACAGATTTCCACCTAGGTTGTTGCTGATACAGAGATGAGGCACTGCATCCCAATTTCTGATCCTGAAGGCAAAGGACTGAAATAGCATGGGTATTGTATTGCAGCTTAGTTTTGTTTTTTATTTGCAGGTAGCAATGTCACAGCAGCATTTCTAAGTCAAAGAGGCAGTGAGCCCAGAGGCCCCTTGGTATGTGTTTTTTAAAATGTCCATATGTTCTTAATTTTGATAGTAATGAAAACTTGAGGGTTGACAGCAGTAGTTTCTGCTGCTTGGGGTACCTGGGTACATGAGGCATTGTAACTCTTGTTTCATGGTAAGGCAGAGGCTGGGGACACTGTACCATGCTGTTGTTTGGTGATCCCTGACTGCTGTTCTGTAAAGTATCTTTTGGCCTCAGAAGATCCCAGTTGCTCTTGGTTTTGTCCAGCCAAGGAAAATAAGTACAAAGCAGCCACAGCAGGAGAAATGACTAGTTAAGTGAGTCAGGTATGCGTGGGAGTGGAAGTTAGAGACAGAAATAATAGAGCAGGTTAAAAAACTGCGTCCTGTTTTTAACTAGCATCCATTTTTACACAAGTTTTAATGGGATGTGAGCTGGTTAGGAGCCATTTTGATGCCTTACCCCCTTTGAGAGAAGAACTTAACCTTAGCTAAAGGGATACTTCATCTCCTGTGGGTGACTGACTTTTAATGTATTTCACTATATTGACAGTAATTATTTGAATGTGATTCAAATGCATTTAGCTGCCTTTTCTTCTTCTTGTTAGTGATATAAATTGATCTTAAAATAATTTAACCTTAATTCTAGTATTGCCTCCTTTTTTATGTTCCTTCTCTTCTTCCGTTCACCCCACCCCTTTCATGTTCTCTCCTCAAACCGTCACATTTCACCCTGAGCAGGTAAATTCTGAGTTCTATACTGGTTGGCTGGATCACTGGGGTCACCCTCATGCTGTGGTGCCTACAGAGAGGATAGCTAAAAGTCTTGACGAAATCCTGGCACGTGGTGCTAACGTTAATATGTAAGTGCACGTTCAAGAGAGGATTTGTTTTTATTTAAAAGGTTAAGGAAGGTGGCAGTCAGCACTAGTTTGAGTGGTTTTATTTGTTTTTTGTTTTAGGTACATGTTTATAGGGGGAACCAACTTTGCTTATTGGAATGGTAAGAAAGAATGAGAGAAAAATTACTTGCTTTCCAATTACAAGTGAGGCCACATACACTGCAAACCTTCCACCTCTCAGTCCCCCATATCCTAAATCAATTCTGTAGTCATTTTTTCAGGACACACAGAAGTGTTCTAAATGCCAGTGGTGCAGGAGGATCGGGTGCCAAGGAGCCTCTGAATTAAGTGTCAGAGCATATCTCCTCCCATATTTCAGGCGCAGGCGCAACACTACACTTGCTAATCGCCACTTCATTCTCCAAAGCCCTGATTTTAAGGACATACTAAAGTATCTGCATAAATCTGTTCCAATGCAGGGCCTTTCTTAAGCATGCGTGTAACTCCAACAAACTTAAGTGAGATGTAAGCAGGACCTTAAATTCTGTCCTGAATATGGATGGTTTCCTGAAGGGGACCCAAGATTAATCACTAGACTTGGAGGCCTTGCTCTGAGCAAAGATATTTGTGAGTGCAATGAAACAAGTCTAAAAAAACTAGTCCATGGGAAAGGGGACCGGAGAAGTTCGTTCAATTATTTTTTTTTTCATAGGGGCAAACATGCCATATGCATCCCAGCCTACCAGTTATGACTATGACGCTCCACTGAGTGAAGCTGGGGACCTCACTGACAAATACTTTTCCCTGAGAGGAGTCATTGGTAGGGTGAGTGTTAATAAGACAAGATTTTCAGAATGTTTCTTTAAAAGTTCACTACAGGCAGTCCCTGACTGCAAAGCCGCGGGGGAAGCCGGCAGTGGGACAGCCCAGACGAGC